TGTTAAGTTATTGCACGTAAATAAACATGAATTGAATTGAATTGAATTATTATTATTATTATGATTATTATTATAATGACTATGTATTATATCTTTACAGGTAACACATTGAAGAATGCCGTCTTCTGGAATGTGGCGCCGAGTAGACTTTCTGTGAACTCACAGTGGTTACTCACACGGTGCCACATTTCAGAAGACGGCATTCTTCATAGTTACCGCTGCAAGAAGTACTCAAATCTTTCACAAATAACATATTTGTTTAAACAAAAAACTTTTTCGGACGTATGAGCTACATAATATTTTAAGAGAGCATAACAATTTAAACGAATCATCAGCTATACTTGAAGATGCCCCTGTGTGGCCAAAAAAGTGGCTGAATTTTTATGAAAAAAAAATCCATGGTTTTAGTCCGCAAGCGAATAATACCGACCTAGCGACTGCGCTTGTCGGCGAAGTAGTGCCAGCTTTAGTGGACAGAGTGTGTCGCGTGGTCAGCGCAACGGATTCCCACGGCCGTTACTTTCTGTTTTCTAGACCGGAGCCGCTATTTCCTTGAAATAGCTCCTCAGTTATCCTCACGAGGCTGAGTAGACCCCGTTCCAGACCCATTACTTCTCAGAAAGTCTGGTAGCGCCGGGAATCGAACTCAGACCTCTGGCTCTGTAGCCAGGAACTCTGACCTCTAGATCACAGAGGCGGTCGAATTTTTATGAAAGCATAGATAGGTGGTGATTCAACCAATAACCTGCAAATCTGAATTGAAGACTTAATAATCATAAAATGATTAACTAACGCGTCAGAATGCTTACATACAAAGCGAGAAATTGCAAATTAAAAATACTTACAGAAGAAGAGCCTGGTGATATTTTACACAGTTGACCAAGAAATCTTCAGGTTGTGGGACACTCCCTCTTATATCTTCAGGATGCAAGCAAGGATATGCGTCCTCTTGTGGCATTCTATTCTTATTATTTTCTTTTTCGATTTCACCGCACTGGTTCAGAGCCATTGTATTTGCAAAATCCGTCCCATTTTCAAATATATTTTCGTTGGTCACATCTAACCACGCTGAACTCTTTTCGGAATTATTTTTATGATCATTCGGCGTTATATATTTGTCAATATCCCGCAGCAAAGTTGCAAGTACTTTGAAATGAGCTGACGTGTATATTGTAAGGGCATAATATGTCGAGTTGTATGCAGTGTTGACAATCAACAAAATGCTGACTAAAATCGATTGATATGCCCAAACGAATTGATAAAGTGGATAATCGAATCCAGACCGTGGTATCCCCATGCAGTAGGACAGATGCTCCCAGTGTATTGTAGTGTCAATTTCACCTCCTTCTTCCTCTATTCTTTTATTCTTTACGTAATGGATGGTCCAGAAGATATGTGGGACTGAAATCCAAAGAAACCATGTTAAAATATTCGTGGATATGAATATCCATGAGTATAATTTGATCTTCTTCATAGCGTCGTCAATAATGAGGTTATGTTCTCTTCCTAAAGGAAGTCTGCTCCTGCTTTCCGCAAATGATTCCTCAGTTCTTGAGATGAGGTGTTCTAATGGCTTTCTGTTAAGCAGCAGATAGGTTGCTATGGAGAAATGAAGAAGTGCTGCTATCATTTCGAATATTATTCCAGTCATTTGCGTTAAATTATCAAGTTCCATATACAAAGCATAACACTGACCATAGAATGAAGGAATATACATTATATGAGTGACCGCCGACAATGTGTTATATATTCTTAGCTTCACTGGAGAGGAGCGTATATTTTCAGATGGCCGGATTCCTCCAAGCAGAAAGAATTTCAGTTGCAGTCTGAGAATCCTTTCCGATTTCGATTTTTCTTGTGCTTTGTTTCTAGAAGCTCGAAATTGTCCAAGAGGCATTTCTGAAAATTCATTAATAATTAGACATGTTAGTGACTTCATTATTTTTGGTCTATGCTGATTATATGAATAGCGTAGAAGAGAAACACAGAAGCTATAATTGACGCTGCTATGGCAAAAGGTAAAGTTTTCCTTCTAACAGGCCATGGATGCCCATATGGTTGTGAGACGTCGAGGCCGACAACAATTTAGAATCACCCTGTTAAGGCTTGAATTTATTAAATGCATCACAAGTGGATACTGGTTACTCTGTCTTCCATCTGGACGTTTTACATTACTGCTGTACTCCAGAGACGCATAATAATATATAAAGGTAAAAAAGGGCAATGATACCCCTGTAACAGGCTGTGGAGTCCCATAGGGTTGTGAGACGTCAAGACTCCCACATTCTCCAGACAATCGACTCACAGATGGCGGTGAAGTCAGCCTTATGCTCCGGCCGCCCTTTATCCCCAGGAAGATTCCTTGTACTCATTTCTGTTAGAGGCTGAGTCGACCTATGGCCAATAGTGCGGCTGGAAGGATTAAGTAAATTGAAAAAATCCACCTCATCGGGACTCGAACCCGCGACCTTGCGGTCTGTAGCATAGTGCCTCAACCAACTATGCTACCGTGAGCCCCCCGACGCTGCTAAGGAGGTTTGTCTAAAAGTAAATACAGAGAAAATTAAATGTTGACAATATTATATTTCAGCATCCTGTTACAGTGAGGTATAACTTATAGTCTTGTTTGCCATCTATAATGTAACAACATTAATTTAACAATATTAATTCACACTTAATTCACTAAATGTTCGTTAACTGTTTAAAATTTCATTAAAATATATGTAGATTCGGTGTTTATGCTACATGTTTCAACCGCATAGGGCCACCTTCAGGAAACACATTTTTTAAAGGAGTCTCTTGTTTCACGAGAAAGTTAAAAGCAGATTCAATTCGGCTTCTTCTTCTTCTTCTTCTTACCTTTCAGTTCAGAACCGTTTCTCTTCTCGTCTCTTTTCTAAAAGCTTAAAGCCTGCAGCATAGAAAAGCATAATCTTGTCTATGGTTTTGTATGGGCGTGAAACTTGGTCTCTAACATTATACGAAGAACGTAGACTGAGGGTGTTCGGAAACAGGGTGATGAGGAATATATGTAGACCCAAGAAGAATGAAATACCATTAGGCTGGAGAAGACTGCATGAAGAGGATCTTCATAAATTGTACCTCGTACTCTTCGCCAAATACAATTAGAATGATCAAGTAAAGGAAGGTGAGATGGACAGAGCCTGTAGCGCGAATGGAGGATAACAGGAATGCATACAGGTATTTTATGGGAAAGTCAGAAGGAAGAAGACCAATATGAAGATCTAGACGTGGGCGGTAGGATAATATTAAGAAGGATCCTAGAGAAATAGGATGCGGGGTGTCTGGACTCGATTTATCGTGCTCAGGACTGGGACCAAGGAAGGGCTCTTGTGAACACGGTAATGAACTTTTGGATGCCGTAAAATGTTGGTCAGTTCTCGAGCAGCTGAGCGGCTGGACGTTTCGGAAGGACTTCATTTCGTGTAGTTTGTTAGTTAGTTAGTGAAATGAGTATTTATGGTTTTGCTTTCACGTATACGCAGTGTATGTGAGAAGCTGTTATCGTGAAAAATGTCCATCTCTAGGTTTTGGCGGATTTACCAATTTCAGCACCTCTGAATAAGAAATATCCGCTCCAATAACGCTATCTATATATCGGCAGGCCTATATACGTATGTATGTACTTGCGCCTAGCTAACGCCTCGATGATTGGACGGAATCTTTTCATAATTTGTATTTAAGGATTTATCCATCATAAGTCGGTGCACTGTGTATGCGAACATTGTAACTCCAAAAATGCCCTGCACACATCGTTGTAGTTTCCTCGAAAATTATTCTATTTTTTATTATATTGTAACGTGTCGGCAAACCAGAGGAGTAACTTCTGCGTTCGGCCTTGGTGTCCTTCGCGAGTCTTGTTGCGCTGTTCCTCTTACCGCATCCGCCCCTCTCTTCAGTTGTGCTCGTCCCGAGCACCCACAAGGTCCAGAGTTTGTCGGTCGTCTTGTTTGACATTCATTCGTTCTCCATTCATTCTTGTTGGGGAGGCCGGTACTTCTATGTTACCGGTTCCTCCCATAAGGGCCGTTTCCCTTTTTCCGTTTCGGAGGGGGTCGGCCCCTCCACTTTTTCCAACTTTTTTCTTGTCGTAGGCCGACGGGAGATCCGGCTATACGCTTCTTGATCATTAGTCCCGTCGTCTTCCTGTATGTCCTGGGGATTTTTCTATGGGGCTCTATTCCTATTCCCCTTATTCTATTGCGGTTGCCCCCGTTGTCTCTTCCGGGCATGTATCCTCTCGCGTTTCCTCCCGGTATGTTGTCCCTTACCCAGTTCTTTCTGGGGATCCTGTTACGCCGTGCTACTCTGACACGGAAGGTCGTCCCCTCGCTGGCGAATCCCAACCTCTCGTGGGGTCCACACTTTTTCTGGGTGGTATTCCTGAGGATGTCTGTCTTGAGGTTTTCCACATTCGCCCGGCGTATCGTTCTTCCGTGGTCGACGGCCAATTTCTTCCGCTGGCACCCGAAGTTTCCCTGGGGAGTTTCCTTCTTAAAGTCTTTTCTCCAACGTCGTGCCACTGTCGCTCGACGGGATGTCTTTCTGCGGTTTTCTTTCTGCCGTGTCGCCTCTACCCGGCGGCTAGTTCCTCTGTTTGTGACAGCCAACTTCTTCTGGCGGCGCCGCTCCGCGGCAAGTTTCTGGTCCCTACGCCGTTTCTTCGGTTCTCCGACCGGTATTCTCGGGGCGTCTTCTACGGGGACTTCTCGATGCTCCAGTACGGACTGCATCGCTTCTGGGTGGGGCTCAATCTCCTCGTGGGTGGTTCTCCTCTCTTCCCCCCAGGCTTTCCAATCGGCCATCAGTTGTGCGTGTCTGGCGTCCGCCTTCGCCTGGTCAGCTTTTCTGTTGGCCTCCGTTGTTTCGTGTTTCTCTCTAATTTCCTTCAGTAGGAGTTCCACCATTTGTTGCATCTCCATTTTTTTGTTGTAGGACGCGTGTTAAAGTTTGTAAAACACTTCTGACACCAATGTAGCGTGTCTTGAGTTCGAATCTTGTCAGTCACGTGTGTAGCTCAATCCCACTTCTGACACCAATGTAGCGTGTTTCGTGTGTCACGCTACAAATAAGTTCACGCCGTTGTCCCAACATAGCGGATTTATTTCCTTCGCTCGTTTACACACACTATACAATCATTTACACTTGCAGTGTTACAATCACAGCTTACAACAACTCGGCGATGCTGGATGGGGTTACAGTGCCGCTATTGTTACTTCCTATGTAACGGTCCATTCTAGCGTTTCCCTAGAAGTTACTCCTCTGGTTTGCCGACACGTTACAGTATTTTAGTACGCTGTGGAGACCGTGCCCTAAATCAGAATTGGTATATGATATTTTTGGGGAAATATGGCCTTGTGCTTAATTAATTATTATACCACGAAGATAAGCTGGCGAGTGGCGTTATAGCTCCACCATTCTTGACCTCGGCACTAGAAGGGAATGCTCAGCTTCACTCCCCGACCGCTTTATCCCAGGGGAAATATCCCTTGGTACGTATTGGATAAGAGCCGGTCTGGACGCTGCTGAGAAGAGAAAAATCAATTTTCCCTGCCGGGAATCTAACCCCGGCCTTCCAGCACTTAGCCCGTCGCTGTACAATCTGAACTGTCCGGGCAATGAGATGTAATATGTAAAAGAGAAATTTTAGACTTTAGCAGTAACACGGATTCGTTTGGGAATTCTTCAGTGCAGAAAAATGAAAGATGTAATTCAGCTTTGTATTCTGGATCTAGCGGTTTTGCTTTGAATACATTTGTAGTGCTACTCTTTTCATACGAAACAATTCGATCTCTCACACGATCAATTTAAGACTTGGAAACATTTTGACTGATATCACTAATGAGATGTGTGTTCTGAGGTTTTCAAGGCGGTGACTTCTTAGATCGTGGTCTCCCGAGTTGCGACTCCATGCGACCGACTGTGTCCTGTAACTGTGCCGGTTGGAAGGAAAGAGGGGAGTGAGATCCTAGGGAGGTGGTAATGAAATGGACACTGTCCAGGTCAATGGGATAGTTTGATATAATTCAAGAAATTCTGGCGAGAAGTAATCGCTTACTTTCCTTTGATACGACATTGACCTCATAGAAAACTACGCCTCCAAAAATTCTTCGTTGCCACCTACAGGTGTTTACCGAACCGTTGCCTAGCAACGATACGTTACACAGAATCAGATACATAGATCTATGCGTCTAACAATTCCCCTATTGTTGCTTGTATACGTTGTCGTGGGATCGTGTTTACCGAGCAGTTGCCTAGCAACGATAGAAGATACACAGACTGATGGGAGAGGTTTATGAAGTAGACCGTTGAGATGGGCTCAGGTTCCATGATATAAATGCCAAGTTTCATAAAGGTTGGTTCAGGAATTCAAAAGTTGA